TGGTGGCCTGAAATCATACACTTGCTTGCAAAACCCCGAGCTTCCTGGGAAAACGGTAAAAGAACTAGAATTAACCGTCGGGTGAAATAACCCGATGGCCATGTACATGCCAACTTTCCATGACGACACTTGTGAAATAGGCATTCCTACCTCAAAATACCTCATTTCTCGCAACCTTTATCGCAAGCCTGCCTACATGGAAAAATCTTTCGATTGTGCTTCAAATACAGAGTAGTGAGGTCCAAATTTTCAGGCACTGGGTACGTTCAACTGGGGGAGTAGAAGGGTCTTAGCAATCCCTATCCAAGACATCTTGCCAGTGAGAACCGCGGTAGAGAGACAATTGGAAAAGTGCTAATTAGGAAGCATAAATGCATATAGGTTAATAATTTGTTCGTGTTAGAGAGAATATGGGATAGCAACAGATCTTCTCTATGTTTTGGGGAGCGGCACGCACGTCTAGCTGGAGGACTTGCGAAGCTCTTTAATTCGTAGTGGCTTGTGCGATCATGACCGCAATGACTGCGGGGCCAGCCCGACGCAATAAGTCAGTATTATTTATACTGACAATACAGTCTGTTACGAATACGTCCGATCGGATAGCGCGACATCGCGCCCAAGTTTGTAGGATTCGATCCTCGTGGGACCTCGGGGGCAGCTGTGCTGCGCCTTATTGCCATACACCCATACTTCCGCCCGTGGATTGAATATTGATAAAAAAGCACATGTGCCTGGTTTTATCAGCAATTAGAAATTTGCCTCTCTGAACTCCTGCGGCTGCAATGTATATCCTTCAATTATAATGATCTACTCCGGACATGCACTGTCTCCTCTAAATCATTATATTATTTTTGGCCATAACTGACGGGCAGCACTTGTTTCCTTATTCAACTACCTAAGGCGTATATACACGTGGCACCAGCAACCTTTCCCGTTCAGAAGGCACACTTTTCGTTAGTAATATTTTCCGACATGCGTTTCTCTTTCGCGGGGAGGGTCTGAGACGACTGTTGGCAGCCTAATCAGCGTTAGTGCGTCTTGTGCTTGTGGGATAGAAGCGTAAGTCTACCACACTTGAAACACTGAAGCCCGAGACATTAATCGAAACTTGAGCCAGAATAGTTTCCCCCCGCCAAAACCTCCGAACAGCACAGAGAAAACTACAAGCCTCCTGGATCCGTTCAAGAGACTACTACCAGATCCTGCGACGCCGTTTGCTTGCTCTAGAGAAATCCCGAAGAAAGCGGCATTGCATTCCCATTTCCTAGTGTTCAAGTGTTGCGTAACATCGTATCGCATGCTTTTAGACGAATGTAATTCCCGATTCCACATTCATAGAATCGACTTCCATCCTTCCAAGCTCCGGCAAAGGATTTGCCGAAACGTTACGCCGATGTCAGACTTTGCGAATCGAGCGATTCGCTAGCGTCCGCGGTCGCATCTGCCAGCGAATCGCTGCATTGGCTGGTACTGTAACGCGAGACCCGCGATGCGACCGTTAACGCTAGCGAATCGCTCAGATCGCAAAGTCTGACATCGGCCTTCGGTCGATTGAGCTTCAGTAACAATTTTGCATGTACATCTAACAAGTAATACCGAATTATCACGGCACTGCCGAGGTTTATCTTGTCCAACATCAACTTTTACTCATTTTCTGATAGTCTCTCAGGTAGCACTGAAAAGGGTTGCAGCTTGACGAGGCCGATACCGTCCAGCTGAGTCTCTGCGTTGAGAACTAAAATGCTTCTGCTGCTAAGAGAGAGTCAGCTCATAATTATGTGAGATGTGCAGCAAGCATGGCTTTGTGAAGTGGAAGCATCTGTGAAGCCATAAAGAAAGCATTAATTCGATTTCCGAATCAACTCTAAAGTGCTTGAGTTCGCTATTCCTTGGTACGGTACTTTTCCTCTGAAAATTTAGCGTATCCAGTCAGCATAGTTTATATTATCGACCTGTTATAGGCAATCAGCATGACAAACTAATTCTACAGAATTCTGCACTAAATTGAATGAATAGATTTCGAGAGGACCCGGTAAAGAATTGGTCGAGAACCCATGGAGAAAACAAAAGAAATCGCACATGGAGGCAGAACTTAAAGGCAGTGGGTACAAAGAAGTGGATGGGGAGCTGAGAAGTACATGTGTCGCTGGATGCAGACTCCAGGTGAAATGTAAATGAAGGCTATCACTCTCACAGCGGAAGGTGCGCTGGTTGCAGTGCGATTAGTTCCAAATCTAAAAACCGCACCGCCCCAAATAGACGGGTTTTACATATCACTACGATTGTCGTTCGATTTTCATTTCAAGGGCACAGTTTGTATTAACCGGCCTTATCTTTAATCTAGTCACATGTGTACTTCACCGGAGTATCCTTAGTTGAACGGTGAATTCCAAGCCGTTAACTCGTCCAAAGCTAGCGGACGAAATTAAGGTCAGGTTTTTAGGGTTTCGACGGATTCCCCTGCTATTTTGCCACCGGGCCCATAGCAGTGGTGGGCATCATTTCCCATCTAGTACATACATTGCGTGCCTACCGTATTAGAGGAATCGACGTGGGCACCTGACTAGCATTGCACCTATGACGCAACACGCCTCTGTATCTCCCTAGCTTTTCGTGCCACCCCCTGCGGAATTCCTAGCACCAACTCCTATCCTAGGCTGTCCGACTTGCTATCAGACAGATTCTTTTACTAAAGCCACCACCTAAGTAAGTGTCAGTGAAGTGCACTTTCCAGTGCTTAGGCTTAGGACCGAAAGAGGGCGCAATGTGGTTCGGGGGAGCCAGTCGCCGCCGCGGCCCGCAGCATGTTCGCGCCCTCTCAACGAAACAATGTAAACTCGAACATTCCAGGGGCGGTATTCAATCCTTCCCCCAGGGGGATATATCCCCCTCCTCTGATTCAATCCTCTGGGGGACAAAAAAGGGTTGCGTCATAGGACCTAGCATACCTCTGTGTTTCTACCTGCCAGACAGTTAGAGCAGCGCTCCCACCATGACATGGGTCCACGCACGTAACCACATTTGAAACTAAAGTGTAGCTGGAGTATTGCCTAAGACAACATGGACAATAGTCACCACATTACGTTTACGCAAGATAATTGATGCTAGAGCATCTGTAAGCCGCTTCCTTCTGAATGAGCTTTCAAATGAATCAGCTAATCAGAAGTGCGACCGAGGCGTGGCGCACACCAAGGCAGGGGATATCAGTGCAAGCGCATGCACAAAGCATTCTAACACATCCTATGGTCAACACGATATCTGTTTTCCCTGGAGGTTGCGGCCAGTGAAACCAAAAAACCCGCTTTCTTAAGAGAATGGCTTGGAGAATGCCCCTCCAAAAAATGTAGCAACGGGACTAATTTTTGAACTACTCACTTTTAAGAACCGTTTGGGTACTTTTTAGAAAAGCTTGAATCCTGTAGTTTCTCATACCGGGTTCAGCTTCCCAAATAAATGAGTTTGAAGGAAGTTATGGTCGTTTAAAGGTTGAAAAGTCGCGGTTTCAGAAAAATAGTTCCGCGAACCCCCCTAAAATGTAGCAACGGGACTAATTTTTGAATTACTGACTTTTCAAAAACGTTCGGGTACTTTTTAGAAAGCTTGAATCCTGTAGTTTCTGCTTCCAAATAAATGAGTTTGAAGGAAGTTATGATCGTTTAAAGGTTGAAAAGTCGCCTTTGCACAGAAAAAAGTTCCAACGTGCTAAATTTTTACTAAATTAGCTTTCGATGAATTTTCAGCCATGATTGGAGAGAGAATGATTTGAATTTTTTAAATCAAATAACTCCGGCGCAAAAGCTCGAATATGAAGAAAGTTATAGCCCTAAAAAGAGGAAGGTGAAAATTGTAGTGCAAATTCATTTCTTGCTCAATAAATTAATCATTTCAGATTGTTTAAGAACAAATCCGCTCTAATTAAGAAGGATGACCGTCGGTGATCCAGAATCCACCTCCGTCTTCCGAGGAACCTGAAATTTTACAAGGAAAAATTCTTCTACTTCTCAATTTCCCCTTTCGACACCTGTTCCCATTCAACAAACGCGCCCCATTGCAGTCACCGAGGGCGCGATCCACCACATTCAAAACCTGTCAATCCTTTAGCCCTCAGCCATGAGGTCCGCGTCACAAATGACTTTATGTCCAAATTCCATGCGTACGCTGTTTTTCGGAATGGTAACTCGTCTTTTATGAAATTTGATCCGAAATTCAGCATTTTTGTCTAAAGAAGTTCTGTATTTATACGATTATTATTGTTTAAGTAATCTTATCACCACTTTGAGCTACACACAGGGGGGTCGTACCAAATCGCCCATGAAGGGGGGGGGTCGTAAAAAAATCCAAAAAGTAGCAACGATAGGACCGACCCTGGTTACGCATTGTGTCAACCAAGTCCAACGA